TTTTTTCAGAATAAGTACGTTTATTTCCAGGATTTTCTATAAAAGATAGTGCAGTTCTGACGCCATTCCAGACAATAAACCAGGAAAAACTGAACCCAAGTAAAGTGGAGGCATTGCAATCGATGTTCGAAAACAAGCAACGTAATTGCTCTCAATTGATCTTCTCCACTAGTTTTTTATTTTTTAATATTTCCTTTCCAGCAGATTAAAAAAACTGCGCATTTTCAAAGCTTTCTTTATGTTAGGCCGCGTTCAGCGTGTTAGTTTTAACAGTTTAATTGCTTCATTCAAGCGATCTCTTCTGCAGAAATGACGTGTGAAACAAAAAAAAAATTGTATAAGTTTGAGGCGCATGTGCAATTTGTTTTCACTTACCACTTTTTCATTGAAACGGTTCGACGAACTTCTAGAACGGATTTTTTAAAGGAAATGTGCAGCCGGCAGCGCCTGCCTTTACAAAATTCGCTAGCACCGTTCAGTTAAAATATCCATCTAACAAAACACAAAGTTCTCATAAGTATTTTAAAACTATATGTCTCATGGGCGTCTTTTAATAGTAATGTGGTTTAGAGTTAAAGTCTGACATTTTCACGCACACATATCGTTTGCAGAGTAAATTTTTCGTTGGCGGTGGCCGAACGAATGAAATTAGGCTGGGCATGGTTTTGACTGATATTCCATTTTAGACATTTTAGTTTTTCCAGTCGGCGGTGGCTTGCTGAAACTTTGCATGGTCATCTGAACGTTACTGAGATGCAGATTGGTAGACACATCTATCAAGTCAAAAATCCTGCGGCTTTCAAGATTCATGTTCTGCCTGAGTTCCTTTCAGAAAATTTTTGCTTGACTGCTTTTTCCTTGCCTTAACGTTTTGTTTTACTTCACTTTTTACAACTTTTTTGCAGATAACCGGAGTCGTGCGCCAAATACTAATTCTAGTAGTATCTCTCAGCTACCTGCAGCTGGCGATGAATCTTATGCCAAAGATGATGATAATTATTATGAAATAAGTGACTTTGGTGCTCGTCGAAAAGAGGTACGAGCATTTTCAGTTAAAATATTAGCAGTTTTCTAAAATAAAAATTTTGAAATCCGTTGCATATAATATAATTTTTCAAGTCTTCGTCTAATTATGCCAAACCGGATGGTAAACATTCGTCGTCGCCAGTTCGCCCTCCTGTTACGCAGCACCAGCGTCGCCATCATCCGCATGTACCTACAGCAGCAGCAGCGGCTCAGCAAGAATTTGTCCCAGCGTTTCCCGTAACCCAGCCACCATTGCGTCCTCCAGGTAAGTCACTTTCCAAGCAACATTCCCACTTCCTATTTGCTGAAATATACCTCAGAAAGGATTAATTTTAGAAAGGAAATGAACTGAATAAGGAATGTTGCCCACAGTCTTTAGCTACAAGCGTTATTTCCCCGCTGAATTGCAGGTTCGGCAAACTCTTCGCAAACAGGTGGTTATTATTCGTCTGGTTCATCGTTGGGTGCACCATCGTCTTACGCATCGCACAACCAGTCATCGTTACCACGCTCACCAGGTCACCGTGGCTCGTTGGTGGGCAAGCATTCGATGTCGTCACGTGCAGTAAGCTTCGAGGATGAAGATGATGGTTTCTATGATAATATTCAAGTAGCTTTTTTTCAAACAATGCATTAAACTGCAAAAAATCGTGTACTTTGGGTATTATACAATGGAACAGGCATTGCACTTGTCTTGTAAAGGCAAAAAAAAATTTTATCAGTTGTTGACCTAGTGATGCGCCAGACTGAACGGGAGAGAGAATGTCTGTGGAATCATTTGCAGAGAAATACGTCTGACCCTTCCGATATAAAAATTTGTCGCAGATGCATTACATTCATTCCAAAACTGTACAGCTTTCTTAAAAAATGCCAGAATCGGCTAAAAATTCTCGAAATTGATCAGAAAAGACTGAGTTGATTTTTTTTTTT